CCCCAGGGTTTTAATGGTGAATCTTAGCCAACGATTCTTGTATGGTAGTAGAAGTAACAAGAAAATACGACACTGTCAGCAGTCTGCTTGTGTCATGTGGAGGGAGAAAGTGAGTCTGTGTGTTGAGAGAGGATGAGGTCAATATACAGAGCACAGAGTGATGGTCTGACATGGAGAAGTTCCTTCTGGCATTAAAGTCTCTGTGCCTTCCTGAGATTGGACTGCTCAGCTTCCCTGTGTCTTGGCACAGAGTCTGGCCCATGGGAGAAGATAAACAGATGTGACCCTGTTGTGTGTCTCACTTTAGTGGATCCAGAGTAAGCTGAGTATTATGGGGCCTGTCAGGTCCTCATCAGTCTGCAACTGGGGCGTACAGGTAGTTGTTAGAGTCAGGGGTCCCTAGGGCTGATGTGACATAAAGCAAGAGCAGAGGACACCGTCATGGCATCCATATTAGACTGTGAATGGGAGAAAAGGAGAAGAAAGTACAGCTTGAGTGCATTTCTGTTCCTATCAGCCAAACGATTACCAAAGGACAACATCTGCACTGCCATCCAGACTGCGCAACTTGGAGGCAAAAATCATGTTTATCTCTCTAAATCTAGAAGTCTGGCCAGCACTTCCAATCTGGGGGTGAAGGACCAGCTGTGATATGTAGAATCAGGGCTCTGACCCACATAGTGTTCTCTGGAAACCTGTGCCAGAGTTCTGTGCAGTGAAATTCTGGGAAATCTGCTTTCTCTCTCTAAATTGCAGTTTCCAGAGGTACAACGTCGGGATGATTGTCCTTGATTCACAGGAATGATATCAACACTGATTAAAATAATTTATTCAGAAGGAAAGGCCCAGCCCAGTGCCTGTGCAAAAGAAATGCCTTGTGGAAAATGATCAGGATTCCCAATAACTGCCCTTGAGGGCTAATATTATTCATTCCAGAAATACTTGTGGAGTACCTCCCATATCCCAGAGTGCTAAATAAGAAAGGCAAGGTGCCGGTCTACTGGAAGCGACTTTTCTTAACAGAGTTCTTGGTTAAGATCGTGGTTTCTAGATCGCGGTTCCCCTCTTTTACGGGTGGTATTGAAAGTCTCACTATTTGGGTCTCTCATTATGCAGTGCTTTTGTGTAATCAAAGCAGATCTCTTTATGGTTTCTTAGTTTCAGCGGCACTGTTTGTGCCGGGGAGTCTATGCTTATTTCCTACATTTCTCCAGTCAAATTCTTTTGAATGAGAGTCAGTCACATGCACACACTGTCCCTCCAACGTGAGGATACCTGCCTGCCCTTGGCTCCTAGAGTACCTGTGTACAATCTGAGAACAGAGATCAGTCCAAAAATTATGCAGATCGAAGTGATGTTTAGCCAGCAAGACCAATAACTGATGAGAGTTTGCCCTGCTCTCTTCAGGCAGAATCAATCCATTCTAGTTCCCACAAATCAATATCAGAAAGCAGCCCTAGGAGTAATGATGTATCTATTAATGGAGAGAGCCCCTAGGGAGGGCCACAGTGGGACAGAGTGGGATCTAAGCTCTGGGAAGCTGCCAAATTGCTCTCCACCTGTGGATGAAACCTGTGAGTGGGAAGCCCTGCTATTCCCTCATCTACCTCTTTCAGAAAAAGTTCTGTTTGTGACGTTGAACACCCCCAGGATCTTTTCATGTCTTAAATGCCCTGACATTTCCCCCTGATTACAAAGGTCATATATGTTTATTATTAACCCTTTAAACACCTCCATTGCCTTCTCTGATAATAGAGCACTGATTTTTGTTATTAGACTGGCAATAAGACCAGGAGGTGGTCATGATTAAGGAAGCCAATTTCCCAGGCTGTCTTGTTGTGAGGAACAACCACATGACCATTTCTGGCCAATGAAATCTTAGAAGGCCTGCTGGGCAGATTCTGGGAAAGGTTTTCTTTCCCATTTCTTGCCTTAAAAAAGAGAACAACAGGCCACCTGAACTGGAGTGTGTCCATGACCATGAGGCAATGGCATAAGGATAAAAAGACAGCAAGTTGAGAATCTCAGAGAGCGCTGGAAAAATATGTGTTATTAATAGCTTCATTCTGTCTTAATAATACTAAAGATAGATGGCAGCCAGCTAATAAAATATACACCTAGTGTTCAAGCTTTTGTTGTTTGGATTTTCTGTTGTTTATACCATATTCCCAACTGATACAAACATATTAAAATAGGAAATGATACTTCCTGTGTAAACCAGGAAGTCAACACTGGGGCCTCCAACCCCTAAGCCATAGATCAGTACCACCCCCTGGCCTTTTAGGAACCAGTCCACACAGTAAGAAGTGAGGGGAGGGGCTGGTAAGGAAGCAAAGCTCTATCTGGATTTTCAGTCACTCCCCATCACTTTCATTATCACCTGAGCTTTGCTTCCTGTCAGATAGTAGTGGCTTATATTCTCATAGAAAGGAATCTTACTGTGACCAGTACATGTGCAAGATCAGGTTGCACACTCACTATGAAAATGTAACGCTGGATGATCTGAGGTGGAGCTGAAGCAGTGATGCTAGCCCTGGGGAATGGCTGCAAATGCAGGTTAACATTAGCAGAGAGGTTTGACTGCACAGAGATCATAATAAATCAGTTGCCTGCAGATTCATATCAAAAGCATATCAGTGAAAACAAAAAGCCTATTAGTGAAAGGCAAGTGACAATTACACTGCAATTAGTGAAAGACTATATATAGTGACAAGTGAGATGGTGTACTTCAATTTTATAACTGCATCTGATAGCAGGAATTACAAATCCAAAAATTATCTTAGTTCTGGTGCAGCCTGCTTATTATTTTATTTACCACTTTCATCTGCACCTTTTTCATGTACTATACACTTACTTCAGTTAGAGTTTTGGTAAGGTCACAAGATAACCCTAGCCAAAATGATTAAAAAACAGAGACCTTGACCTAATGATGAGATAGCAGAAGAATCTAAGACTGCCAATAAAAAGACAGGTACATTTCAAGAAAACACCAAGAGTCTCACTTAAATTATAGGCTCACTGCAACAGGTGAGTCACATTCTCCAATTCTGCTGTGTATAATAGCTATCCAACAAAGTCCTGAAACCTTCAAAATTTCTTCACCATATAGAGACCAAGAATCCTGCATTAAGAGATGAGTATTTGGAGTTTTTCAAAAGGAAAAACACACGAACATGAAGAACAGAACCTATTATTGAAAGCCATCGTTTTATTAAATATATCTGCACTGACAGCATGATTCTTAATGTCTGACACACTGCTTAAGCTAAGAAACCCTTTACTATTGGTTCAGAATTGATCCAGTCTGATGCTGAGGACATTTGTAATGACTATTAAGAGAGGCTGCAATTCAAAAGGTGGTGCATGTTCCTTTTTGGCTAGCATTAAAACTAGAAGCACTGACTACATAGCAGAGAACACTGAGGCACAATTACAGAGAATTAACAAATCACCGTGGTATCGGTTGCTAAGTCTACCAGTGTTGACAAGAAAGTAGCAATGATTGTTTTTATTGGATATATTTTTCAAAAAGATGTGCATGACAGTATGTTATATGCACTTTTGTTGCCAACCAACACCACAGCTGCAGAACCATTCAAGTGTTTGAATGATTACATAGTTGGAAAACTAAATTGGTCATTTTGTGTTGGTAAATACATGGATGGAATGGCTGCCATGACTGGATGGCTTTCTTTTCAGGTTTGACTCAAAGAGATCACTCCTGAATTCCAGTTTACACACTGTGTCATCCATAGAGAAAGCTGGCTTACTGAAAAATATCAACTGATTTTAACTGGATGTCAACTGAATTTGACAACATTTACAATTATCAACTGAGTATGCTGGTACACTGTAATACTAGTACTTAGGAGGTGGATGCAGGAGGCAACCATGAGTTCAAGACCAACCAGGACTACATAGCAAGACCCTGTCTCAAAAAGATAAAATTATCAACCACATTAAAGTACATGCCTTTAATACACATCTCTGCAAATGTGTGAGGAGATGGATACAGACACACACTTTCTCTTATACTTAGAAGTGACATCGTTTTCTAAAGGTAGATTTCTGGCCAGAGTTTTTGAATTACAAAAGCTCTCCAGAGATTTCTTTTAGAAAAACAATCACCACTGGTAGCACATTTCAGTCACTCAAGAATAGGTTGCAAAACTTGCTTATTCAGATGACATACTAAATCTACTCAACAAACCCCTAACTGTCACTTCAGGAGAGAATGAAAACTGTGTCCAAGTCACAAATACTGGGGCTGCATTCAAAGCTAAACTGGAATTATGGGGCAATGAGTGAAAATATTGAGATTTTTGACATGTTTCAAACATCAGCAGGGTTTGGACTTCTTTCTCCCTGCTGCTGCATAACCACCTTCTAGGCTTTCAAAGGAGTTTTCCCACCACCTCCCAACCACAAAAGACCTCAGAAGTGGCAAGGAACGAATCCTCAGCTCTCTTATGAATAAGTCAGGTCATCCATGCTAGAAGAGGTTCAGCTGCTTGAGGTTACAAATGATGGTGATCTTAAAAATATGTTTGAGACATCTTTGGACTAACATTTTGGACTAAAGTCAAGGCAGACAGTCTGCCACAGGAGTGCTGAAAAGCCTGCTTCCATTCTCAACACCCCATTTTTGTGAAACAGGAATTTTTGCAATGATAGAAACCAGAACAAGATTATGGAGAACACTGGACATAAGCAATACACATGGGGTGTCACTGTCTTCTGTCCCCCTAGATAGAACTGTCTAGTTGCAGGAAAATAAGCTCAGTATTCCAATTAATTCTGCATTATGATGAGTTGAATAATTATTTCATTATATAGTATGTATTATAATAATAATAGGAATAAAGTGCACAATAAAGGTAATGTGCTTGAAGGATCCCAAAACCATCCCCCAAACTTTGGTTGTCTCGGTTACTTTTTACTCATTGCTGAGACAAAATACCTGAAGCCCAAAGTTGGGAAAGGAAAGGTTTATTTCTTACAGTTTTTGGAGGTTTCAGTCCACACTCAGTTGGCTCCAAGGCAGGCAGGCATGGCTGGGCCGCAGTTCATGGTGGCTGCAAACAGCAAGCCGGAACCAGCAAAGAGAAAGACACACCTTCTTCCTGCCATTACATCACATCCTGGCTCCACCCCTTTGTGGGGGGAGCACTGACACCATCAATCTAAGCACTAGACAATGACCAAATAACAAATGCACAATTCAAACTCATGAGGCCTGGGGGCCACAGACAGAAACCATGACATTGGTCCATAGAAAAATTATCTTCCACAAAACCAGTCCCTATTGCCAAAAAGGTTGTGGTCCACTGATATAAATTATCCCCAAGACACAGCCATTGTTCAAAGCTAATGTTTAGTATATTTTAAAGTGTTTAAACAAATCTGAATACATATAAATACACACATGTAATTGATAGGTTCATAAAATAAATGTACCCTGCCTTTTACTTAACAAATACATGATATTCATATATTTCTATGTTAGTACAGTTTTTTAAAATGACCAATCTTTTATTGCTAGGCATTTAAAGTATGTCCAATATTTTCTCATTATAAGCAATGCTGGAATAATTATCCTTGAATAATTGAATGTATATCCGTGAATGTATATCCGTGGGCACTTGTCTGATTGTTTACTTTGGATAAATTATTAGACATGGACAAAGAGAAGGCACATATTAAATGCTGACACATTCTCTAGGAAAATGTTCACTGAGGGGCTACCACGTGTGATACAGTTATGCTTAGTGAACCAAACAACTACACCCCTGACTGGGGTGGAGCTTTTGTTCTGTCTGGAAGACTGACAGTCGCATGGATAAATAGGTGGCCGATAGTCGCTATTATATTTAGACCTGCACTATCTCCATGAAGTCTCATGTGTTTGGAGATGGGGCCTAGTCAGAAGATGAGGGCACTGGAAGAAAAACCTGGAGGGTGTATTCTTGTCCCAGGCTCCCTACCCGCCATGCTTCCTGGCTGCCATGCGGAAAGTGACTTTCCTCTATTAAGTCCTTCTGGGATGGAGTTTCTGCTTTGGAGCCAGAAGACCATGGACTGAACCCTGTAAAACTGTGTGCCAAAATAAATCCCTACTCCTTTAAACTGCAGGTATCGGGTATATTGTCCCAGAAATGGAAAAGTGACGAGCGCAGTTACAGATTATCGTGAGAAATAAACAGGAAAAAATCTAATGTGGTATGGAAACAGGGACCTATTTAGAGAAGTGACCAGTGCAGTTCTCCAAGGAATGACATTTAAACTGAGAATTTAAGAATTTTAAGAGCCCAGGCCTGTAATGACAGAGAAGTGCTATTGGCAAATTACCCAGGGAAGAAATATTTGATATTTAAAGATTTGAAAAGAAGCCAGTGTGGTTAGAGAAGCTAACAGTACGAAGGAGCAGGCTAGTTCCTGACAGCATGAGCCCTTGTAGGGCATGCTGGAGCAGCTGAATTTTATTTTATTTCATTTCACAGGAAGTCATCAGAGGGCATTAAGCAAGAGAGTGGCCTGTTTCATTTTATTATTAGTATTTTTTAATGATCACTCTGGTTGCTGTTTTCCATTGTCTGGACAGGGGCAAAGGTAGGAGACCAGTAACCAAGTTATTGGAGTGGACCAAGCCAGGTAATTTGGGTTGGAGTTGGGTACATGGGAATATTCAAATTTGTATATCCTGTTGGTATTGGAATATGGAAATAGAGCAAGGATGCAAAAGGAGCATTTATAAATAGGATTTAATATCTGATAAAAGTATATGTTCCTACACTAGTGGCCCATAGTTTTATTTACTGAGATTTTACATTATATTTTAATATTTGTTAGAGCAATATTCCCTTATTTTTTTCATTTTAAAATTTTCACTTCCTTTTATCTATTTATCAAGAGAAACTTTGAAATAATTCTGTCATGTTTTATCCCACCCCACACTGTGAGTCATATTGGTTCTTCGATATAGATTTATAAATCAAGTTTGGAAGATAGTTTTGCAATGTTGAGGCTTCCTGTCCAGAGACCTGTTATATTTTTCTAGTTAAAAGGTTTTTTTTTTTTAATGTCCTTAAGTGAGATATTATTTCCTCCTATGGCTCTTTCATTTAGAATATGCTGTATACTATTTATTGATATACCTTTTTCATCATATTTTCTAAATGGAAATCACTGTTGTTTGGTGTTATATACAGGTGGCCCTAGAAGTAGTGCTTCTCTTTCCTTCTTTTGAGTTCAGAACAAACCAAGTGTCTTACTTTTTTGTCGCTAAGACAAAATATCCAACACCCAAAGTTAAAGGAGGAAAGATTTATTTGGCTCACAGTTTATAGAGGTTCCAGTTCATAGTAGGCTGCTTCCTAATCAGTGGCATGGCGTGGCGGGGAGGCATTGCAGAGGAGAAATAGTTCATGGCAGTCGGAAGGTGGCAAGGCAGTAAGCCATAAGTCACAAGTAGCAACCCTCTTTCTTTTATTTTATAATAAAATACCTCCCTTATATTTTATTCAGGCTACCCACTCTTCCGGGGAGTAGCACTCACAGCCAGGGCAGAACAACCTTAACCCTTGCATTGTACCATGAAGCAATCCCAGTATAACATCCTTTATCCCAGCAGCGCCAACTCTAGATCCAGCTACCTCTGAAAAGCACCACCTCTGACCACCTGAGGCTATGGGGGACATCTAGATACAAGCCGTAACACCAAGTCATCGATGAAAGGAACACAGGACATAGAAATACTACCTTGATTATTGATAAACATGATTGGAAAGTGTAGCTTTTGATCTGTAGCTATAGTTCTCCTTCAATAGATCTGTTTCTTGTAGTTGCAGGCATTTTGGGCCAATGGTCTCTCTCTAGCCTACAAACTTACTGAATGGTAAAAGCACGTGAAAAAAAGTATTTGTTTTCTGCAGTCAGCGAAAATCCAAAAAAGAGAATTCAGAAGCATCTGTTCTTGTCTAATGCTTCTCCTAAACTTGCTAACTACTTCAAAATTTACTCATCCTCACTTCGGGTGGAGAGAGGCCAGGACTTGTCCCTCTATATAGGGAAGAAAGCTGCCCCCAACAATTGGGAAGGCTATTGATTCATCTTAAAGTTGGCTACCTTACCAAAGTCTGTGATACTTTTAGTTGACTGCTTTGATTTTTATTCTTAAGGAAATACTACCAGGAGCGAAAAATGAAAATATTCTTTCTTCCCACTATTTATACTTCTTGTTTATTTTTCTTAACTTATTCCACTGGCATTAGTTTGTAGCAATTTTAGCAATTTTTGCTTTGTTTCTGATTTAAATGAGAGTGTTTTTTAATGTTTCACCATGAAATGTGTTGATGTCTTCTGGTTAACTTCGTCAAATTTAAATTTTTTTCCTAAATTTTTTTCCTATGTCGTTGGTATTGACATTTATCAAATACTTTTAAACCATCTATCCTGTGATTTATTTTCTTTTAACAATGCAACGAGTTTACAGAGTCCCCAGTGTTGCATCTTTTCTTTGCACTTTGGGAAGAAACACATATTGATTGAGGTGGTTTTAGTGCAAATTCTATTAAAATTGTTAAATTCTTACTTAGTAGTTTTGCAGCTACTATACACTTAAGGGTATTGGTCCATAGTAGTGACTCACATACTGGAAGCTGATCAGTGAGCTTGGCAAAGGTTGTCTTGGCTCAGCTGAGTCTGGGAAATGCCAGGTAAAACAAAGCAGACAGGTGTCTTTATTCCTAGACTTCATAGAGACTTCCATACACTAACTTTGTGATAATCCAAAAGGTGGAGAATCACACAGTGTAAGTTATCCAACTGCTAAAGTCCTCCTGCAAGACAGGGGACTCGTGTTCTACATTTATCTGCACTTCTTCTTTTGGGTGTTATCTTTGCTGGATCTTGGTATCAGAGTTATGCTAAACCTGGAGAATGAATTTTTCCCTTGTGAACAGTTTAAACAACACAGGACCTGGTCCATCTCCTGATGGTGTGACAGAACTTGTCGAACTTGCTGTGAAACCACCTGAACCAGCAACATTTCTAAGTGATACAGATGCTGGGAATGCACACCTTTGGGTGACAGCCCCACAGGACATTTCCCTCCACAGCCAGTTCTGCTTGGCACCTATTCTTTAGGATCAAGATATTTTGGAAAATCCTAGAACGTGTGAAAATGAGGCTTGATGTGTTAGTAAATTGATGCTGATCATCCTTGCATGGTCCTCTGCCCTCAATGTGCCAGTTTCTTGGCCAGCATCCTTTTAAGCAGCACACCCCTCATCCTGGGGCGGTTGGCTAAGGCTGTGTAGAACCTTTCTGGTTAAGGGGACAAAGTCTGTGCCTGCCTTTCCTTCCAGCTACTCCAGCCCCCCCCCCTCCGGTCCAGCTCTGGATCCTCCTCCTCCTCCAGGTCCATTTCATCCTCTGGCTTGTACCCTTCCCCAAGTACTGCAGGGGCTGGACTCTTGCTTAAACCTCTGGCTCTCTGTGCTTCCCCGAGGCTGTGTGGACAAATCATTTGCCCAGCAAAAGGAGCGGCTGAGAATTACTAGGAGATTGGGGTCAGCCTAAGAGGCCTGCCTGTTAGGTCAGCTGGGCAGTGGGAAGAGCTGAGGGGTTGTCTTGGGGTTTAGTAAAGGCTAGAAGGGCTAGGTGGAAGGGTGTCCCCAAAAGAGGCCACTCCAGTTAGTCTGGAGGACCTGGGGGCTTGCAGCGACCAGGCTGAGGATGCATCCTGGGTGCAGTGAGGCCTAGGGTCCAGGGTCCAGGGAGAGACCCACTTGGAGGAGGGGATCGTCGATGTCCCGGGCTCCAAGAGGCGCGGGACTGCGGGGGCTCTGAGGCTGGCCTGCGGGCGCCCCCGGCTCGGTGGGGCCGGGGTCCAGGCCCTGCCCGCGGCCAAAGGCTGGGCCTGGGGGGCGGGGAGCGGGGCGCGGCGCAGGCTCGGGCGCGGCGCGGGCTCGGGCTCCGGGCGCCCGGGGCTCCCGCTCCCCTCCGCCGCCTCCCCGGCCCGGCCCGGCCCGGCCCGCCGCCGCGGCCCGCGGAGGGAGCTGTCGCCGTGTGGTGGCCGCCGCCGCCGCCAGGCCGCGCCCCGCCCCTCGCCGCCGCCGCGCCGCCGCTCCCGGGGAGCTCGCGCTCGAGCTGCGGCGCCGCTGCCGCCGCCTGGGCCCCGGGCCCGGCCCCTCCCGCGCCGCCCGGGCGATGAGAAGCTGCTTCTGCGTGAGACGGAGCCGGGACCCGCCGCCGCCGCCGCCGCCCCAGCGGGGAACAGTTAAGTCAGGCCGCGCCGCGCCGGCCCGGCTGCCCCGAGCGCCGCCGGGTGGACCGGAGGACGGGCGGGCGCGGGCCGGGCCGGGCCGGGCCGGGCCGGGGGCGGGAGCAGCCTCCGGGCTCAGCCGAGGCCTGCGGGCTCCGTGCCCGGCCCGCGGGGGACAGGCCCAGGCCGCCTCTGCGGGGCCCACCGGCCGCGGCTTCGGGTCTCCGGCTCGGCCTCGCGGGCGGGAGGCAAGAGGGGACCGGGGACTCGAGTGCCAGCAGCGCCCCCAGACCCGAGCAAAGGACAGGCGCCCAGAGCCACCTCTGCCTTCTTCGGAGGAGAGGCCAGGCGGCCCACCTGGGCACAGGCTGGGGACAGACAGTCTTGACCGACAGGCCCTGGGGTCCGGCCCTCGGTGCTCATGTGGATGCAGACCAGTGTGCACCTGACCCTCGTGCATCATCTGAGGTGCTGGCCACTTCTGTGACCTGAACACAGAAGAGAGGACTCCTAGGTCCTTGGGCACCTGTCTGCAGAGTGAGATGCCCAGGCGTGAGCACTGCAGGCCCAGGGTACCAGTCCAGAAGGTTGACCAGCATGTCGATGAACACCCTCCAGTGACCCCAGTGCACCTGAGGTGCTGGGCACAAGGTGGGGCAGCTAGGACATAAGCTGTGGCATAGCACCAGGGAGCGTCAGACCCTCAGAGACAGTCACAGTGGAACACCAGCAACATCTTTGTCCTCTTTGTTACTAGTACACAATGGGTTCCTAAATTATTTGCCTTTCTCCCCACCAGAGATACACATACCAGTCCCCTGTCCCCAACAGCCTGCTCAAGGGGCACAGAGGAAGACCACAGGAGGGCACAAGGCAGATAGCTCCTGCCTCTTCTCTGCTTCCTGCCCCCATCCAAGATCCCTAGCCCTTGGTTTTCAGCCACAGAAGCAGACAGCAGGCCAACCTCTCTTAAGAGGCCTTTGTCTCTGGTGGTTCTTTCTCAGAATAATCTCATTGCAAATTTCTGAACAGCTAGCTGGATCTCATCTCCTTTTAACAGAATTGGCAAATCTTATCAGCAACCCCAGAAAAGACTTAGGAAAGTTAGAAGATAAGCTCTGTGGAATCCTAGGCTAACTGAAAAACAGTGTGCTCAGAAGGTTTGTTACAGGAGATGGTGACACCTTTCTTGCTGGCTGGAAGTCATGTAGAGTGCTTTGTGGAACTGTGCCATGCCCAGAATATTTAAGTGGGAGGCCTCTAGAAAAGGAGCTCCTGGAAGGTCCTAGGCATCAAGATCCATGAAGAGCAGTTGATGTGGTAACTACCAGTTCACTGGAACTTAAAACCTTTGCTGTAATTCACATTTGTCATTCCTTCTGATACAGAGGAATGAAACTCCGAACCTACTATGTCTGCAAATTCGTGTTCTCTAAAATCGAAGAATGAATTTTAGGAACAACGGAGGTTAAGAGCAGAATATATTTATTGAGAGAAAGAAAGCTTCTGTCTGAAGAGTCAGAAGGGGTTGCCAAAAACTGTCTTTTCCAAGGACTATTACAGAGTAAAATCATGAGATGAGGTGGGTCCAAGGCGGGGAAGACTGGGAACTCACACAGCAGATGGGCATAAGGTGGGACATAACTATAGTTAGCCAATAAGATTAGTAGTTCAGGTAAAATTGATTAAATTGGGGACAAATGGGAAAGCAAGTCCTGTAGGAAAGGGGCATTCTTAGAGCTGTGACTCTTGCCTAGGGGGATGAGATGGTGACCCTAGGCTTTCTCAGGGTGATAGGGAACTGTTTAGAATACCAATCCTCAGGATATGGGTGTATTTGTTTGGTCTTTTGTCTTGAGGCCTGGCCCAGTGCAGGAGGTGGCAGTCTCCCTGGTGGTTGCCAGGTATCTCTACTGGCTCCATGGAGGAGCCAGCCCTGTCTGACTGCCAGAGTCAGACTGCCTATAATATTTCTAACTAACTCAGCTGCCTGCAACACTTCTTTCTAGTTTTGAGGTCTCTGAGGTAGGTTCAGGTTACTTTCTCTGCCCTATCTGCACCCTGCACCCAGTGGGGCCCCTTCACTTGTAGAATATTGCACCACAGTTAGAGGCAGGAGCTTTAGAATTAGGTCTCAGCTTTAGTCCTGGCCTTCCTACTTCCTGTGTATTGTTGAGTGAATTAACAAACCTTTCTTAATCTGTTTCTTCATCTGAGTGAAGCTAATGACTATAGCTAAGCTCCTAGTGTTAAGGGATAGGTAAAGAATTGCAAGAAAAAAACTTTAGATTAGAGCTTGCCACGTGGGAAGTCATCAGTAAAAGTTAGTGGTTATTTCTAAGTTGTCCATGAACTAATCCCATAGAAAGCTTATTTGTTTGTTTGTTTATATTTAGAGGACCTTTCTGTTTGTGGGTACTATCTGGTTCTTATCAGGGCAGGTAGGAATAGTGATACAGAAGAGTGAACACTGGGTTTGGTCTGGGGGCCTGGGTTTGAATCTTAGGCCACCACCTGGACCTCAGGTGACCAAGAGATGTCCTGGAACCTTTCTGAGTCCTATTTTCTTAAGCTACTTTGTGAAAGTGGTTTAAAAATAAACAAGTTAACTCATAAGCGTGACCAGGAAGGCTGAACAAACCAAAGGATGTGACTTCATCATGAAAGTTAAGTGAGACTCAGCACCCAGCAATAGATCCTTGGTTTGTTTGTTATTGGAAATTGAACCCAGGGCTTTGTACAGAGCTACATCCCCACTCCTTTTTAAGTCTGTAAATTTTGAGAGTCTTCCTCAATCACCAGGCTGAACTAGAATTTGCAGTTCTCATACCTCAGCCTCCCAGAGTGCTGGGATCACAGGTGTGCGCCACCACGCCCTGCTTCAAATCCTGGTTTTGTAGGTCTGATATTTACAGTTTTTGATAGTGACCAGGCTATCTCATCTCCTTTTAACAGAATTGGCAAATCTTATCAGCAACCCCAGAAAAGACTTAGGAAAGTTAGAAGATAAGCTCTGTGGAATCCTAGACTAACTGAAAAACTCAGTGTTTTGTTTGTGTTACAGAACCATACAACTGTGTACAAACATACTGCTGGTTGCCCTCTCAGGGCTTTTGAAGAGGTAAGGGAGAGAGACCTAGAGTTTAATCTCTAACCATGTCATGGCAGGTCTGCTTCTCAGGAATCAGAATCCCAGTAGCCTGGGCTCCTGTGCAAAAGCAGGCTTGAAGTGCTCTCTGCCCCAAGAGCGACATCCTTGCCATACTGCCAAGTAGCAAAGTGTTAGTGTGGAGCATGGGCAATGTCAAAGGTGCCCTCGTGGTGGGAAGATAATAGATGACTCTGTGGGATGTGGTTGGGCTGAGGACACTGGTTAGTGGGCTGTGGCTGAGTGAGCAGAGCCTCCTTTCCCAGTTGGGTGGTGAAGGTGGGTGTGGGACCTGGAGTTAGCAGCCTCTCTGGGGCTGCTCAGCCTCCCAAGGCCCCTGCGGGCCTCTCCCTGGCCCTAGGGCTCCCCACGGTCTTCCCCCTCACTGGTGCCCTTGGGATCTGTGGTTTTCCTGTGCTTGTCTGCCTTTCCGCAGCGGCCTTGCCTGAGGCAGATCTCTTCTCTCTAGCTGCCTGGGGGGCGAAGCAACTGTGGGGTGTGCATTGCATCACCCTCCTTTTTGGGACATCCTGTGGGGCAAGGGTTGGTTTATTTGACACGCTTCTGGCAAGAGGCAGAGCTTGGCCAGGTAGAAATATGAGAGCCCTGTGGGCTGGGGCCCAGGGCCTCACAGGGGAGTTTTATGGCTCGTGGCTCCCTAAGGGTGGAGGCCATCTCCTTGGGTCTGTGGCTGGGATCTGCATGAGTTTATTCTTCGTAGACAGAGAAGATGGTATAGATAGAGATACATACATGGGCACTTCCTCCCCCTTCCTTCACAGATTGGCAGGGCAGAATGTCCAAAAGAACTTCCTCCACCCTTTAGAAGAGAGAAATACTTTCAGGGAATTCTTAATGAGGTAGCTGTGTCTGGAGTGTTTATAAAAATGCAGATTCCAGGGCTGGGTACCCAGACTTTAAGGAATCAGAAGTTCTAAGGAAGAGGCCCTGGAATCTGTGTGTTTAACAAGCACTTTCTCTTTAAGAACCACACTTCTAGGTACTTTAAAAGAAGTATTAAATACACATAACATAAAAATTATTAGATACATGTACGCATAACAAAACTTGGCAGAGTGTGGTGGTGCATACCTGTAATCCAAGCACTCAGGAGGTTGAAGCAGGAGAATCATCATGAATGTAGGGCCAGCCTGAACTACATAGTGAGACCCCCCCCTCCAACAGAACAAAAAAGCCCCATGGTAAGCAATTTTAAGTATGTAGCACAGTGGCGTTAAATATCTTCATATTGTTATGAAACTAATCTCTAGAAGTTTTTCAGCTTGCAAAACTGAAACTCTTACCCATTAAACAACTTTCTGTTTCCCCGCTACACAGCCCCTGGCAGCCACCATGCTTACTTTCTGCTTCTGTGTGTTTCTCTGTCCATGGGGCCTCCCAGACCTGCAGTCAGACAGTGTGTAACTTTTGGTGACTGGCTGGTTTCGTTGGGCAGAATATCCTCAGGTGCATCCTGGTGTAGTAGCCCGTGGCTAGTAGCCCCTTATCAGGTATATGATTTGCAAATTGCTCATTTCATTGAGGTTGCCTTTTCATCCTGTTGCTTGTATCCATTTACAAATCCTTGCTGGTCTATACACATTACACTCCTGTGGAGAAAATATTACCCACTATTTCATTTGAGGGCTACACAGATAAAATACTGTGTTCTATCAAATGTATGTGCCGTCTTTTGTGGATCTGGGCCACAGATGGACACTTAGGTTGCTTTTACCTTATGATTATTGCATATAATGCTGCTATGATCATGCATTTAGAGGTATCTTTGAGACCCTTCTTTCAATCATTTTGGGTATATACTTAGAAGGGAATTTCTGGATCATGTGGGCATTTCATTTTTAACTT